GGAGGCATATACAGCCCCTCCCTCCTAAACCCCGTCACTAATGCAAAAAGTTGTCCCCAGAGCTTCATTCCAGTAAAGTTTCTCTCAGATGGCCAAGTGATCTGTGTGAGCAACGACTATGAAATTGGCAGCAGATACTCAGTGCCATTCGGAGGCCTCTTCAGTTGTCAGTCAAACAACCCACTGGCAGTAAATCAGCATCGCTGCCCTCCTAAGTTCAGTCAGCACCTCACCACAGTGAGCGACGGCTGTGAAATTCTTTACTGTGTCCAGTCAGGGCTGTTCACAGGTGGGCAGCTGCTTCCGGTCCATCTGCCACCTTTCACTAAACCTCCACTTGTCAGCATGCATGCCACAAATACAGTTATGGTCATGACTGAGGGAGATATGAGCTGGATCAGAGTGGGGCAGACCAAGGCGTGGAAAGTGGCCAAACCAGAGGAAATCAAGGAAATGGTTCGGAAGCTTAACCCGGAAATGAATCAGATGTCTAGTGGTGAAAAGGCAGGGGTAGCCTTTGGGGTGATCGGTATGATGGCGCTGGTGGTCATAGCGGCAGTAGTCCTGGTGAAGAGAAGGAGGAGGCTGTCTGGGTTGAGGCCAGCTAGCGGCTATGAGGAAATACGTGGTGAGGTTGAACGTGATGAAGGAGAGAGACAACAAGATGAGGCTTGAGAAAAAACACAGATAAGAAACACTTTTGAGAACGGCTGCTTGTGCCGCTCAGTTGGGTTGTAACCAGTGGCGGCTGGTGGAAAATGTTCTAGGTAGGGCCATCCTATCAATTTCAGCAAACATCCCAGTATCATTTAATGCAAAAGAATTAAGGTATCAAACACGCATTACTACTTTGCAGTTATATATTTAACATTTATTCCAACACGAAAAAAAGCAGTTAATAACACTTATATAATATAACATGGTTATTTATTGAGATGCCCCTATGGACCTTGTTATAGGAGGTAAAGATCAGGAGAAGTAAACATGAAGTGTAATTATGAATACTGATGTTAAATTAAGCTATGATGAGTTTTCACTGTTAACTTACCATCTCAATTACATGTTGATGCCTCCATGACCAAGTTAAGAAGAAGAAGAAACATTCCTTTATTAGTCCCACAGTGGGGAAATTATTCTCTGCATTTGACCCATCCCTGTATATATATATATAGGGAGCAGTGGGCTGCCAATTACAGGCGCCCGGGGAAAATTAAGCAGATGAGACTGAGGACAACTATGTAGAAGAAAAGATGTTCACTTTGCCTAATATGTAGCTTGACAGAGTCCTCCATGTGTGCCCTGGTGTTCTCATGTTTCTTTACTTCCGCATCCCTCACTCTCATAACTGTCCGTGCTGGATCTGTCCCCGTTGTTTTAAAAAGCTAAATAATGCATTAGCATGACGTCATGCAGCTAGCCAAACCTGTCTGGTGTACAGCTAGTACAGAAGCTTCGCATGTACTGCTTCCCTTTCCCGCTAGTCTGCTGTCTGATTGTGAGGTCAGGCTGATCTGATATCAGCTCTTTGGCCTGCAGAATCTCCGCCAAGGTTCTCCTCTCAAACGAGACTTGGAGGAGTAGTGCTCGCGCTGGTGCTCGCACTCGCCTGTAGAGACTTCTCCTGACGAGAACGCGCAGCTAGGGGGGCCCCCCCAAATAATTTGGCATTATTGGCTTTAAAAAAAAAAAAAAAAAAATTAAATTAAATTAAAACTGTTGTTTCTCACATGGACAAGTTATTTATAACTCTAACATGCTACATATGTGCGTGCGTTCTGGTTTGTATGTTTTCTCCCCCTTCAAATTACAATCCAATAGCCTATCATCATACTTAACGATATAAAGTTGACACTGTCAGGTCCATTCTCCATCCATTGTGTGCGGTCCCTTTAAGAATTAGGATTTGGGAGTGACGCGGATATTCTTTATTTGAGAAAAGTTCATATTTGTGTTGTCAAATTTCACTATGACCCTGAAATTCTGTCTCTTGTGTTATCATATACTGAATGCAAGCAAAACTACAGAGCAAAATCACACTCTTTCTGATTGAACCAATCTATGAACTGTCTGAAACAATGGATATCCACGGCCCCAAATGGGCCCCAAAAAATTTCCTACACGCGCAAACATGCCACTCCCCTTGGGGCTAAGCCCCCCCTTTCTTTGAATCCTAGAAACGCCCCTGGCACATATGTTTATGTTTTTAGTGTTTCACACAGCAATAGACGTCTGATTAAAGGCTTTTGAAAGTCCACAGTTTAAAGACTTGATCCCAAGAGATGGAGGTTAATTTTGGTGTGACAGATTTGGATTTTAACTAGAAATCACTATGATGAATCTCACAGAAGCAGAATATGTTGTCTAGTTTGAATCAGTTGGACTTTGCATTAATTATCCTTATTCTTTTGAAATGTATATGAAACCAATCAGTAATTCACATTTCAACAACTGCTATGCATATTAAATATATAACAACACATTTATTGGAAGACATTTTTTCCTGTTATCACGATGTGTGCTTAGCAGAAGTAAACTTCATCATACTATGTTAGCTCTAACAAATGTGACTCCAGAGCCATGTGCCTTTGAAATCACCAAATAGCTCAACGCAGAAGTGCTTTCCCAAAGGCCGGAGAATCAATACTGCCCTCATGAGGCCAAGATGCCTAATGTCACGTAGTACATCAACATGGTATACCCCGTTTAAAAACCTTAAAAAATTATTTTGAAACATTTTTACAATGTTTCAAAATAATTTTTTACAGATAATTGATTAACATTTTGTGAAGCCTTATTTTAAAATATGTGAATAAAAGAAGCATTAGATTAATGATTTTCTATGTTTGGTATATAATGTTTTGTTTTACGTTGCTAAAATTGAAAGGATTTATAAATGTATGTCAATGAAACTCTTCTGCACGGCACTTAACTACTAATTAAAGTTGTGTACAACAATTTAACGGATCTATATCTTCATGTTTATATTGTATTTATTCTTGGTATGTCTTACACATATCTCAGTCAGCGTTATCTTGAACAAAATAATCATCATTGTAACAGATCTGAGTTATGAGTGTTTTTTTTAAACTTGCAAACTAAATAAATGGAGTTAAATCTTTTGAGCTAAATCCAAACACATGATGACTGTAATTGTATCTACACCACGCAGTGTTGATGTTTATACAATATGCAAAACTATCAGCTGACGTGAACTCAAACGTTCAAGGTTGCATAAATCTGTAAACGTGGCACCAAAGCACATACTGGTCCTCTAAATAAAATACTGGGAATGAAACCTCTTGCACAGAGAGACACTTATCTTCCCGAACCTTACTGAGAAAACCACCAACATTCCAGCCACACCTCATGGCTTTGGTAAGGTTACCAGTACACAGACAGGCTGGCTCAGACATTATATACACAAAAACACACACAGTCACTCCAACAGACAAACACACATGTACTGTACACTCACATGCACATGGCCATTTCCCGTAAAGAGTGATCATAACAATGGGCATCCTTTTCTCTCGTGACTATAAAATAACCTCCCTCCCCCACACATGCACGCGACCATAAACACACACACACACAGCTGTGAGGGATTCATAGAGCTGGGTCATGAACATGAAAACAAACCCACTCATGCTGAGGAAATTAAGGCCTTGGGAGAGAGAGAGAGAGAGAGAGAGAGAGAGAGAGAGAGAGAGAGAGAGAAAGGAAGAGAGACAGCCCTGAAGGAGGGAAACTCCCTCCTATAGTCTTTTTCATAGGACGGACAAAAGTGTGCACCCAGCGGGCTGCCAGCACAGCTTGCCAGTAAAGCCAAAGCTTTCTCAACCGTGATTTCATTTCCAGCAGGATCAGCAGTCTAGTCCGTTTGCAGTTCATTTTTTACAGTGAGCTGCGCCATTGATGGGGTTAGTAAAAAGAGGGAGGAACAACCAATGTGTTTGTCTTGCCTGTTAAAATCTGCAGAGGAATTTCAGCAGGCAGAGAAATCTACAGCCTGACACAATCTGAAGGATGATACACGGATTACAGTCCAAGGTAAGAGTGCATGTTCATGCTGTGGTGCACGTTTTTAGGGTTGACACAACTGTGGCAGGATTACTCCAGTTTATAAAGCGGGGAAGATTAAAAGATAATCTATATTTACTGTGTAACAGACATAATTCATCTAATCTATGATCATGAAGTCGCTATGAGCAACCACTCTGTGGTCTGCTCACTGGTAAACCCGTGGAAATTCATTTTAACTACAGGTGAAAAATGTGACTGCTTACAATGGGCTCCATATATGAGACACTCCACTTGTTTTATAGCCAAGAAGTAGACTTAACCGACCATTTTCTCATCCCTCTGTGCGTTGTTACATTTAGGCAACCATGCAAGCTGGAGGATACCAACGGAGCAACGTTGTGTTCACGTTGACTTTACTGGTCCTGTTGGAGGTCTGCAGGGTACAGGGCTGTTGGGTTGGCTCAGGGTCGGAGTGTGAGAAAGCCCCCTTTGTCCCGGGTCACAACCTGGCAGGAGAGGGTTTCGATGTGGTGCGGATGCGTCGCACAGGGGCCTACGTCATCAATGTCAAAGCACATCTGGCCGACAACCACACCTGTACACTGTGTCCAAACCGCTTCCAAGGAGGACAGGTGAAAACTATAACACTCAGCCTTCACTGTCCCCTCTTTCCATGGTGTCTTTAACTATACTCTTCGTCCACATGCACCCCCCACTCAACATCCTGCCCTTTTCTCTCCTCAGATTCAGAGGCTCCCAGCTGCAGTGCTTGACTGGCGTCCGTTTAGCCGCTGCAGTAAGCAGCTCTCTAGTGCCCTCCACCACTCTGTGGACTCCCTGCTGCGGAGCTCCAGCTCCCTGGTTAACAACAACTGGGGCCTGGGCTTGAGTTTAGAAAACGTCGGCAGGGCAGTGCTGGGAGGAAGCCGCTCAGAGTTGGCAAAGTTTGCCCGTTCGCAGCACAGCGTGGACAAGGCCACGTTTGCCATCCATGAAATCAGTTGCACCTACTACAGGTAAAGAGGAGTGGGGTTGGATAAAATGGACCTTTGCAGTTATATGTAATTAGCCGATTAATGCATTCTGGGATTATCGTATTAATTAGACTACAAAATATATTCTTATAATAAGGTAAAAGGCTTGGAATGAATTGTTTTTCCATCTATATACGTAGTAGAGCATAGCAGAGGTCTTTGTTATTTAATGTTGACAACATGGATATTATTGTGGAAATGGCAGTTACAAAATTAATATTCCATATATTGCTATCTGCTGATACTAGCTCAGTTTTTGGCCGACATCGCCTGCATGTAAAGAAACAAAATGTATTGTTGACATCTATATGTCACAGATGCATGCAGGTGTTCCTTTGGGCTAAACTTTGAAAAGAGCATCATTTAAGAAAAGGGCTCGACATTAGGAATAATTATTTTTGCAAGTTACAAGTTAAAACAGCTTACGGTACCTTATGGTGAACTTGACTGTTTATTGTGTTGAGAGTGAAGATTATATCTTCACAGTGTTATGGTTGAACTCCACATGCCTTTTGTTTTTTCAGCTACAGACTGGCTGATCATCCCCAGCTGAGTGCAGAGTTCACGAAGCATCTAAAGAGACTCCCACAGAGCTTCAATACAAGCCAGAACAGAGCCCTATATAGACGGCTGATAGACACATATGGAACACACTACATACACCAGGTCAGTGGTTAATGCAGTGTTCTTTTCCTGCCTTAGTACGTTTGCTGCAGAATGTCTTTTTGATATAGTTTTTTTTTTTTTTTTTTTTTTTGCATAGTGCTAACAATACTGAAGATAATGACATAGGGAGGAATGTAAAAAGCCTTCATTTGATGATTTGTTTTTGTCTCCTAGGTCCAGCTTGGTGGTAAGGTGAGGCGAATCACTGCCTTCAGGACCTGCCTGGCCACACTGAAGGGTTTCTCCGAGTCGGACATCAAAAGCTGCCTGAATGTTGAACTCCGAATGGCCCTCGGTTTCCTCCCTGGCAATGCCTCCTTCTCCAACAAGTGCGATGACCTCCTGAAGGGCAACATGAGCATGGGCTTCTACCAAGGCTTCATGACCCATAAGATTGAGGTCATCGGAGGGGAGAAGTATTTCCCCGACATCCTCTACCAGGAGGACCCATCTGAAGCGTACCAGAGGTGGATGAGCAGCCTCCACAACAACCCTGATGTGGTTTCTTACGCCATCTTCCCTCTGCACCACCTGGTGGAGGACTCCCAGATCAGTGCTAATCTGAAAAGCATCGTCACAGACTATATTAAAGAGAACCAGCTGCAGGAGAACCAGGTCGGTTTCAAGAACTGCTCACCGACTCCCAACCTGGACCATAACTGCTGTCCTCTACGGGCCGGCAGAGGAACTCTCAGACTGGAGATCCAGAGGGGAGCAGGTCTGAGGGCAGACAGCTTCACGAAAACAGACGCCTATGTGAAGATCTTCTACAACGGCATGTACGAGGAGACCGAGACAGTGATGGACAACAATGACCCAGTGTGGAATGTGACTTACAACTTTGGATCCGTGGAACTGGGTCAGGTGTTGAGGTTTGAAGTCTGGGATAGAGACGTGTTTTACAATGACGTAGCGGGTATATGTGTGGTGTTCCCCGAGCGAGGAACTCACGCTCTAAGCTGTCAGCTCAGCAAAGGAGTGCTCTATTTCACCTACACCATCAAATGTGATGCTCACTTGACAGGCTTCAGGTGTGGACGGTACTCCCCTAATGCCGAGTAGATTATTAGATAACATGTTAATGTAGATTTCAGCATTTTCTTCGCACATAACGTGAACACTTTCAAGTATCAGATTTAATCTCCCATTCATTTTAACTGGAATCATTTGTCAACATTTTGTATGCCAAACAAACTCCCGCCTTTTCTCACATACATCTTCTGTAATTGTTGGTCAGTTTTGTTTAGTTTTTTTTTTTTAAAAAAGGTAACTTACCTTTAATATTTCAGTATTAACTAACCAAAGTTTAAGTCTTTGTGCATCTGCTACACACAAATAAAGTGATTCTGATTTAGGACATTTAGGCTACTGTTGTATGTCCCCTTGAACAAGTCTGATTCAACAGCGCACATAGATAATACATTGACAACCACCATTCCTACAAACTTACTCTTTTCTTTGAAGTGGCAGATGCCTATACGTGCCATATACAGAAACAGACTTAATAACTCAAGAAAAAACAAATATGAACCACTCATGCAACTCAGAACAATTGGATTTCAACTATTCTGTATAGATCTAAATATCATTAAACCGTATTATTAGAAAAGGTTTATATTTGTATTTCTTCACATTTAGAACATTCTTCTTTAAATTACTATAATAAATAACGCTCTTAGTAGACTGCTGTTCAAAAACAAAACTCAAAGGGGGGTGATTTCCCATTTCATATTTCTTAAAAAGATTAGTCTAAACCACAGACCATGTTGATGCCAAACCTGGTGTAACAAAGGTGCAGGTCTCTCATCTGGTCTGGCAGTGTAATAATATGAATAATTCCTACATGATGAAAGATTAAGAGATGATTTTCTTATCGGCAGCTCCTCCTGCTGAATCACTGTAGGCACGACCACACAAACTTTTATTCCAAGTTTTATTATTCAGTTCAAAGGGGAACCGTAAAAACATACAAATGACCTAGTAAAAGCTTTTACACTTAACACTTGTACACTTACAACACATAAGCCACTTATACAGAACGAATGCAGCAGCTGCTTCACCGACCTCTCTGTGCCGCTTAGCTCAACATATTTAACGGAGTAGAAACAGCAAAGAAACCAACTCAAGACATTCCATTTTATCTTTGAGTTTTACACTCAATTAAAACTGGTGTTTTTGTACTAAATTCATTAACTTTACCAACACAACCGTGTATGTTCGGTCTAGAAAGGTCAATCAGTCTGCCCTTGCAAAAAAGAAATTGACTTAAAATATGACATCAGGATGAAAGTCGACACACGATCAGAGAATACAATTTGTCAGATACTTGGCTGACTTTCTGATGCAACCACAACTGTCAACAACGTTTTTGATCCGGTATGGCATCAGAGGAAATTGATGTGAATCGCAACATTTATCATATCATTTGTCAACTGGAAAGATGCAACACTGTCAGGTATGAAGGATGGGATAGAAATCTATCGCTCCATCGCTTTGCACAAATTTCCTTGCCAGCATTCAGTACCTTTATCTGAATGTGAATAAAATACGACTGCATGGGTTATGTGAACTTAAATTATTGACTTTTGTTCAAACGAGCGCCTTGGTGTACTCCAAAATTATTGTTCCGCCTTTATATATTGATCTCATCAAAGTAGGAGCAAAAACTGTGTGCATGTAAAAATAGTGTTTTAGGCACAGCTACAGAACTCGTTTTCATGGCAGCGTATGGCTCTCAGTAGTTTCTCCAGAATAGACACAAAAGTGTGTGTTCAGTCACAACACTCAAGTCTAGCCAGAATCAAAGGAATGCCATCATGAATGTATTTGTACAGTCTCAAGTTGCATGTTTGCGGATCACAGTCCCAGTGAGGCTTTGAGCAAAGATGCCATATCTTCAGGTATGGTCCCCTCGCCACCTAGAGAACACACGATGCTTCATTTATTCTTTCAATTGAAAATAATTCAGAAGGTTAGGCTACACGCAGGTTAGCTGCTTCAAACAGATAGTTTTCTATACTTTTGACTTTTAGATATATCACTTAACTTTAAAATAACAAATACTTATGTCCATCTCTGCAGGGTTTAGGCTGTTTTTAGGATATTCTCTTCATAGGCTTGACACAAAGTGGACCATCACAAACTGAGCTGGAAGTCACAGAGCAGTTCTGGAATCTGCTTGACCTCATTCCTGAACGTTTTGAAATGTGTTATTCGAGGAGTAAGTTTAAGTTTAAATGGCTAGCACTCCCAAATGAAATCAACCCTGCTTTTTTGTTGTTTTGACTAATTAGATTGCATCGTTAAATAAAAAATCAATTGAATGTATTTATTACTGAAATTGTGTCCATGCAGTTAAGAAAGCGTATGTACGAGTGCACATCTCTTTACCTTCAGCAGCAGTCATGTCCTGTTCCAGCTTTAGTTTCTTCTGGCTCAGGTGCAGCATGCAGTCCTCTATGCTGCCCTTACTGATCAGCTTAATCACCTTTACAGTCCTGACAGCCACAGTGAGGTACATTAGTCACTACAGGTTTTAAATACATTAAGTACCGTTCTGAAAAGGAATATTTTTTTACTCGAGGAGGTTCTGTAATTGCAACGAACACCCACTGGATTATTTTGAGATATGAATTCTATCAGAATCTGTCGGCATATAGCCGAAGTGTTTTCTGCTTAATTGCCGACATGAATCAAGAGAGATTTCCAATTACAAGACCTCATCTGGTAAAACACACCCGAGTACTATTTACAGATTATATCTCACTTGGTCTGGCCTACACGGTGACATCTGTCCTCTGCCTGTTTGTCGTTGTAGGGATTGCAGTCGATGTCATGTAGGATGACAACGTTAGCCGAGGTGAGGTTGATGCCCAGGCCACCGGCACGTGTTGACAGCAGGAACACAAATATGTCAGGATCCGTGTTGTACTCATCAATCAACCCAATCCTGCAGGACAAAGGAAACATCTTAGCAATTACATGAGACACAATTCATGTTATGTTGACGGAGTTCAATACCAAACATTGCTTGAATCCTTAATTTTTTCACCCCGAAGTACCAGCTAGAATAAAAGATGGATATCAGCTAAAGGTTAACCAATATATCAGCTCAGCATCATGCTAAGCATATATGCCGGAGTCGCAGTGTAGTAAGGACAACTATGCAGTTTGCAGAAGGGATGACCAAATAGATCTGAGAGTTCATACAGTTATGCTTCATGATACTGCCTTGTTGGCTAAAACTGATTTCAATGTACTGCACAACGCTGACCTTTGTGCTATGGGCGTGGATCCATCCAGTCTGACGTAACGATGCTTAAGATGTTTCAGCAGCACCTCCACGATGTCCAGCATCATGGTGAACTGACTGAACAACACCACTCGGTCTCCCTGGAAGATGAAAGGAAAGTTGACCTCCGTAGGTACATGCAGTCTGCACTCCTCTGTTGCAGGTACCACAGACCCGGCTCTGCACATTTGTATTTACCTTGTTTTTATGAGAGGCCAGCAGCTCCGTGAGGTGGTGGAATTTCCCAGAGTCAAGCAGGAGATGTTTTTCTAACTGGTAGGAGCCGATGGAGGAATACTGCTGGCACAGACGATTCAGCTCAAAGTCTGACATCACTTCCATGTCCTCCTGGATCAGAGCAGCGTCTGCATCAAAGTGAGTTGGCTCCTGTGGAGGGAGAGAAAGAAGAACGGAGGAAACATTTAACAAGAGGAGACAGAGAAACACCCCAAATATGGTACAGAGGGTAGAGTAAAACAATATAGATAATAAACAATGAAAATGCAGTATAGTGTTAACACAAACACAAAACAAGCTTTGCATATCTCCATCTTGTTGTGGCATAATAAAGATGGCACTAATTCACTAGAGTGAATATGTTCCATGTTCATTGTTATTAGACTTATAATAATACAATCCCCCACTATCCAAAAACTTTAAGATGGCAAAGAGTAACTTGAGTGCTCCAGCAAGCTAAGCCTCGCAAGAACAGCTCAAGAGAAAAAAAAACAGCAGAAAAGATGCGAGTACGACCGACCTTGAGCATGAGTTCGCTCATGGCTTTGAGCTTCTCTGTGGTGTAGTACTGTCTATGAAGCAGCGGGTGGTTGGCCATCTTCCTCAATTGCATCATCACATTACACAACTCGCGTTCTGCAAATAAAAAGCATGAGAGGGAAATATTGCTAATTTCTGCGATTTGCACAAAAAATGATTGTGATGTACAACAAGGAGCAGTAGATCAGCCTTACTCTCGCCACTATTAGAAGTCTTGAGTTCGTTAAAGAGGTTCTGGTAGAGAACCTGCTGTTTCTCACTCATTGGGCAGGACTCGACCTTATCCTCCTTGACTGGCAGCTGCTTGAGAACCTGGAAAAAGGGAAAGACCACAAGTTACTCATAATGCCTACGCAGGGTTTGAACTATGATTACTCTCATTGTTAGCATTATTTAGCAAAGGGTGATGTCCAAGAAAACCCGTTTGTGTGACGTGCGCTTGTCATGGGAGACTCCTGAGTCTTCTCTGATTAACAGAATGAATCCACATGTTCATTGGATTCTAACACCACGAAGGTTTGCCACAGGTCCTTACAGAACACACTTACTTTCATATACATAGTATTTACACAATACAGATCTGTAACTTGAACTTCAACTCACCTCGCTCTTGACTCTTCTGAGGATAAAAGGTTTCATGATGAGTTTGGCCTGAGAAATACGATCCCTCTCAAAGCGGCTCTGCTCCTCGTGGGAATTCTGAGACACGACAGAAAACTTTAGACTTTTTTTGGGGTGGCTATTTAACTTGCAAGGTAAATAATTCGTTGTTTCTATACCTGTGAAAGAAATGATTCTAAAAAAGGGACTAAAAGTTAGTGGAAGGCTAGAAGATACAATCACTATAAGATGTCTCTTCTCACAGCCTGTTTAATGAAGTACCAGGAGTGTGGCTGTAATCGGAGATATCCGTCTCTCCAGCTTCGAAAAGCAAAGCAGTCTTTCTCACCATAGAAAACATTTTGGAGAGCTGTGTAGTGGAGCTGGAGAACATGGAAGGCATGATGAAGTTCAGGAGAGACATCAGCTCTAAGAGGTTGTTCTGTACAGGAGTTCCTGTCAGCAGCAAGCGATGCTCTGCCTACAGGGAGGGGGGGGGGGGGGGGGGGGGGG